AAAAAAAGAAAAATGGGAAACATTTAAATCTGGATCAATTCCACAAAATATTATTGATTGGATTTGTACTGCACAACCAGTTCATCGATGTCGACGAGAAATATTTGAATCAATACTTCTTCATGGACATGTTATGAGTAGAGATTATATGGAAAATTTAAAAAAATCAGAATGTGTCATCAATTCTATTCTTCAACATAGTCAATTAAGAAGAATTCAATGTTTGAGAGAGGAAAATTATGCTAAAGATATAAAAGAGTATGTGACTGCTTTAGTTTTAGATGAATTCGAAAGAAAACATTCTCAAAAAAATTCAGACGAAATTGTAGAAAGATCAGCGTCATCATTTCCAGATATCCTCAATCCACAATTTCGTGAATTATTCATTAAGAATAAAGAAGGTTTTTTTTCACATGTTCTTTCTGAAAATGATATAAAAACAATTAAAACAAAAGCTATTGAAATAGCTCAAGCTTCTATTAAACTTCATTCAAATCCAGCTGGTATTGGTTATGAACGTGATAAAGATTTAGGAACACATAAAAATGTTTTTAGCGTTCTTGGACCACATACAGGTGATTATGGTGACGTATTCATTGTGTTCAAACGAGAAATTCTTCATCATCCAGATTCAAATTTTTCTATTCAATCAGCAACATCCTATGTTAGTGGACGAGCTTTTAAATGGCGCCCATGGTTAGGTGAGGATCCTGGTTCTAAAAATGATCGAATTAAATTATATCACAATACGAAATTGCATGCAGCAATAACAGGTTATGAATATGCAACTGCTCTTGAACTAATTGCTACATTTGGCCGAAAAATAAAATCAATGAATATTGATTTAGATACAATTCTTCGAGATTCAGTTACTCGAGATTCTCATATGAATATTGAAGCTCATTTACCTCAACTTATTCCACTTGATTATATTGATCATATTTATTTACCAAAACAAATATTTGATACATTTAGTACTGAAACTCGTCAAGCAATCAATACTATCTTTCATAATCGTATTTCAATTAAATCGTTTTCATTAATCGATGAATATCGAAGTATTGTTATAAAAGATATAATTGAAAAATATGGTCAACGTGATATTCATTCTATTTCGAGACCTATTCAAGGAACTATTATAACAATACCTTCAAGTGATCTTACTGATCATTATGTTTTACCTATAACAATATCACAAGCATATAAACAATATAAAGTCGATTATTCAAATGTTTCAAGTGATGATATTCCATTTTATATCTATTGGCAAGTTATGAATGGTGATATGATGTTAACATTATCAAATGAACAAATTAATACAGGAAAACAACAACCTAATCTACGTTGTTTAATATCTTATATAGCTGAAAAACCATCAACAAAAGATTTTCATTATCATGAAAATGAATCTTATTTATATAATGGTCGACCATTTCAACATGAATTTGTTATTAATGGAACTAAATATGCAATTAAATCTCGATCATTTTATATTGGATGTAATACAGATGATTTTATGACATTTTGTCTTGAAATTCAACGTTCAACAGGTAAAGTTATTTTATCTCATGCAGGTCCTAATTCAATATATAATCATGAACAAATTTCTTCAACATTTTCAAAATCTGATCTTGATCTTAATCAATTAAATTATATTCATGTTAGTGCTCGAGCTCGTACAGTACCTATTCGAAATGTATTCGTTACTTTCGAAAAACAATCTGATTTACATCCAACTTTCGATAAAACATTCGATAAAGATTCATCTTCAACTATAAACGCTGTATTACCTAATATTAAAGATGATACTAATTATAATAATGTACCATCATCAAATATATCAGATAGACCAGGCAACAAATTATCTAGAGCTTTTAATAAAGTAATAGATACAGCTGCTCAAGCAAAAGATAAATTAAAGGGTTTCGTCTTCAGTGGCAATGATTCATCATTAACACCATGTCCTGATAGTATTTATTGTCTTATTCAATATTCTGACCAAGGATTAATTCATAATTCGAAATATTCACATCCATGTCGTTTTTCAGAACTTTGTCGGGATCAAGAACCGGATTTAACACATGAACCTCATCAAGCACCTCAATGTAGTGCTGACAGAAACTGTAAAGATTTATGTAATCCAATTCATCGAGCTCAATATCGTCATACAGGTTGGCCAGATTTTCTTATACCTTGTCGAGATCAACAAAAATGTCGTAACGAATCAGATCAACATCGTTTGAAATATTCACATGGTGAATGTGTTCTAGATTTTATAAATAGAGCAGGAATACAAAGTAAATTAAATGACTATATTTAGTTTTTTTATAAGAAATTTATTTTAGCTGCATCATCATCAATGCATTCTAATCGATCATTACAACAACAAGATAATGATCATAATCAAAAAATACCTTGCAAATGGGGACTAAAATGTCGTGATATTTTAGATTCAAATCATTGTACTAAATATTCCCATCAAAATATTGTTCAACTACAAAATGAAAATCGTATTGTATGCAAATGGGGTAATCAATGTCATGATCAAAGTAGTGCTCATCGATTGAAATATTCACATTCTTGAATTTGATTAAATCTATCTTTTCTTCAAATAATTTCCTTTCGTCTTTGAAATAAATTTTAATAGTTATATATATTTTTAATATGAACAGTGTGAGTAGTGAACCATTCATGTTTTTCGATAATACGAGAGAAACTTTATAATTGAAACATTCTATAGTGCTTGACAGATGAGTTTTTCTAAAACAAATTATGATGATGATTAAATATCGTCATATAAATCTGATATGCATATTTTTTCATCTGAAGAATGTAATTCTCTGTGACATTTTTTATTATAATCGTGCCTAATTTTTTTTCTGCTAGATCAAAAACTGCAGTCGTAATTCATAAAACATAAAGGAAAAGATATCAAACATTTTCAGTGTGCTTAGTTTTGAACCAAAATTAATTTGAATTTTTCTGCTATTTTGAATGGTTTGCTTTATAATTATCAATGACCATTTCTGATGAAGCAAAGAACTCTAAAAAGAACTGGACTCTTAATAGAAAAAAAATTGTCACATATTTTAACGTTTACAGCAGTTGGTGACTCTCTATTTATCTTTGTCGTATGGATTTGTTTTGTTATTGTTTAAATATCAAGTTAGTTAAGATCGAAATTCGCTGAAAAATGCATATCATTTTCGTATGAAATAATATTATTTTGAATTAAAAATAACGAATTCAATTTTATCATTGATTTCTTTTCGTCAAAAATCCTGTTTCTCTCATATCGAAAACCATGAATGAGTAATAACCTTCAATCTGTAGTTACATTTAGAAAAATAATAATAGTTGCTTTTAGTATATATTAATTTTTTTTAATAAACCTTCATTGTCTACATATGATTTCTGTTTCATTTCACCTTTCCACATTCATTCTTTATATATAATTGAATTATTTCTAGATGAATTAAAAAATTTTTTTAATAATAATTATTTAAGATTTTGTATTAATATGATATATTTATCTTACAGCGACTATTATCAACAATGAAAATAAATGGTGATTATTAATGCTAGTAAATATAAGTCAGTCATTTTTTTAACTTTAAAATATTAGAAAAAAAAATATTTTGGTAATAGAATCATTATTATGTATGAACAGGTAAAAACACAGTTTCGGATTAGAGAAAAGTAACATTTAGCGATCCCGTCGATTAATTCATGTCAAAAACTACAATCGTATATATTATATAAGTCATATGACTTTTGTTTTTCATTTTTTTAGAAAATATAAAAATCATTCGATGATTTCCGTTATTTCATCATTAATTTCATGTAATCAATACAGTGATTTTCAAAATAATGAAACTCACTCGATGAATTTCATTATGTGACTTTTTTTTTTTATTACATTGAAAATATTACAATAATCGCATTATTTTGAGAAGACTAAAATCATTTACGATCTTTTCATGCCGTCTTTTGGGATGTTATGCTAATATTTTTCTTAATAAGTAATAATTTTTAATAATACTTTTTAAAATAGCAACATATAAAAGTACTAATTATCTTGAAAAATCAAACTACCAATAAAAGAAATTTTTAATTTTAGATTTCAAAAAAAAAATGTCTTCATCAACATATGACCAATGTCATATGTGTGAAGATGAACTTGGAGATACAGATGACGTAATTATTACAGAATGCAATCATAAATTTCATCGTCATTGTGCTCAAAAGCGTTTCGATACGAAACATAAATCCGATTGTTATGTGTGTCATAAAGACTCAGCAATTAGTGATGCACTTTCCCGAGTTATGAAAACACAGATTACAAAATCTACGAAAAAAATTGATGATTCATCCGAATATGTAAGTTATTTCGATTCTAAGATGAAAACAATATGAAGTATAACTATACAAGACGTAAAAAAACAAAGTCTATATTAATTAGAAGGGACGCATAGAAAAAGAACAAAACAAAAGCCATCGAAAATGAATTTTGTAGTCCAATATGCTACTAGTTCTGACCGAGATAGAGAAAAATTATGATTATCGCTTATTTTTATAACGAAACGATTATAATGGATTTTTAATGAGTCTATATGCTTACAATAAAGAATAGTTAATTTTTTTGTTTTGATGAAAACCGCTTATTTGCAAAAGGCTTATTCAAGATTATGAAATCCAAGTCTGAAGTAAATTGACCAAAAAAACTTGAATTGAAAGATTTTTAAAAATCCTTGATAAGTTTGGATCTCTCTATTCCAAAAAGAAAGAATCCAAGACTATAAGACCACATTATAATAACATCACATATCATCCATAATAGGAAAGCTAAGCTCATAAATTCCCATTAAGATAAACAACTAAATTTTGTTAGTACAGTCTTTTTGAGATTAAAATGTAGTACTCACAAAGTTTCTGTAACTTGATTATAATACTAAAGTAAAGCATTTATGTTCGTGTTTTCTAATATTGGTAATGAAGAAACGTCAAGGAAACTGCGCAAACAGGACTTGAAAATTTTTTTGCATTCATTTATCAATTAGTTCCTTGAACAAACAGTTCTACGAAAACATACAATATGGAAAACTCAATTCATAAAAAAAGATCGTGCTGCAGATAAAAAAGATAAGATAATGGAGAAAATCTTGACAACATAACTGAAAATCTGTAATTCTAGTTTCAGAAAAGTCAGCTCGAAAATTCGAAGCGAATAAGTTTTAATTTCGATCAGCATTAACTTTTAAATTCCAGGTTCATATTTCGTGATCATTGAAACCATTAAAATCTATAATGAAGAGCAAAATAGGCAAGTTTTTATGTCTCGAAAAATCAGTCGGTTTGGCTTTGAATCCTAAAATTCTTTGATTCGATGAGTCTATCCGGTTTAGTGTTTCAACCGAAAATGATAGTAAGAAAACATTGTTAACAAATTTCCACTTCATTTAAATTTACATTTTTATCATGATCTTCAAGTTTAACAAACATATACTATACTATGTTCACAGATATAAAAGTCCAGTTACGGGAAGAACGTTTTTTTAATTTTAGACTAAACTTCCTCAGAAATAAAATACTATGATTTTCCGTTACAGAAGACAACATAATATATCACTTTTACCAAAGTACTGAACTTTTTTATTATTAACATTGATTTCACAACTGCAAAAGAGAACTCAAAGACTAAGTGTAGGTTTTCATTCTGTGAGTTTCCACCTAAAAATGAGTTGTATCTCGTCTTGTAAGGTTAAGAAAAACTACCCAATGTAAACCCTTTATCCTCCACAGCGGTTTCCGAAGAGATGTCGATAAAGTAACAATATGAATAGTGTACTAGAGTGCCTAGTATGACACTTATATGGTCTGATTCACCGAATCTCTACCTCTGTGTGTAGCGCCATTTAAATGTTCGGATAACTTTGTGATGGGGCGAGAAGATGTAAGGATTTGTTAAGTGTTGATTTGTTTTTCTTTGACTAAATCATTAAATGAGAACAAATAGCACACATCTTTACTTATTGGAGTAATAAAAAGTGAAGAAAATAAAACAACAAAAACTAATGTCAAAAGAATGCATGTATCTTTAGCACATTCTCTTATATATATATACCTATCTAACTTGCTTTGAGCCGTTTACTAACTTCTGAAGACATTCAATTCAAAATAAATATTATTCTAACTTCTCATAAGCTGAACTTCATCGTACATATATAATCATTTCTCTTAATCGCCCTAAAGATGCCTCATAATGGCTCTTCGATCACTTACATGGGTTAGTACCTGCATTTGGCAAACGCTTCGCGATGCATTCAAAATTTATCTAACTTACTAGTCGACAGCTTCATCAATTTATGTCATATAGAAAATTCAAAAGATCCTTATCTACTGTATGTAGGGAACGATTTATTTGGGAGAGTTAGATTTTTTTCATTTTTTCCAAAATTATCGATTTTGTTGACTCAATATTTCAAAGAAGGAACGATAGAAAAAAATTGCTTTTTTTACCACTCGATAACTCATACATTTTTGCAACAAAAAATATTCTTACGGTTTTCCAATCTCATGTGTCCTTTATTTTCTGCAATCATTTTACAAAATGACAAATCTAGTGGCCAATGAGAAGTAAAGGTTTAAATGAGTTTTAATAGAAACACAAAGCTGCATACAATGAATCAAAGAGCTATTTAAAGAATAAAACATAACTGACACTGATAAAACTGAAACACGCACATATATGAATGATACATGGAAGTAGAGAAAAAAGAGAAAAAGAATGTTATTGCAGATAACATTCTTTCGAAAAGCAAGTGTAATAAAAGAAAAGAAGCAAGAAGATAGTGATCGCTAACACAGCCATATTATCCAGCATCGGACAACTAGTTTTGATCATGATATTGGCAAGATTTAGTATTCTATATATAACCCGTAACTTAATGCTTGTACTCACTAGGATATACTGCAGATAATTTATCGTAAATTTCGATGTGAATGAATGAATACACAGAAAAAAAATATTCTAACTAAATTGTAATTCATTTTGGATTTCGCTCAGCAAATACTCACTGTTTTTTCTTTGTCAGTGTCTCATGAAGAAATCATAGAGTAGATGATGCAGATCGGATGAGCTCTAATCATTTCGAACTTTTATTAATTTCATAAGCTCCTTAACATGATTTCTATTTTGCTAATAATCAAAGAAAACATATATATATATATATATATCAATATGAATTTTAATTTCTAGATGAATCCTGATGACGATTATATTCCTGCATTAGATTCTGAAAATTCGATTAACACAAATGAAAAATTGTGGGAATGTGAACGATGTTCAGTTAGTAACACAGAATCAATAAAACGATGTCAAAATTGTGGAAAATTATGCTATAGTCTACCATCAATATTTCGTGAAACAATTGATAACGATGAATGTAATGACTCGTCACCAACAAGTAAGAATAAAAGAAATAATGGTACGATCTTGCAGATTATAGAAAATTGTATAAGAACTTTGTCGAGGACTTTCAAAAGAAGATCCTTCAAACTAATTGAAATAAATTTACAATCGTGTGGTATAAATCAAGAGTTAACTATCAAATTGTAAATGCTATCATGCATTAAATCATTAATATTTTCCTATAATACAACAATTATTATCTTCCCTGCAACAGTAATACTTAATAGACAAATTTCAAATTTGATATTATTATTATTATTATTTTTTGGTCTCACCAATAGCTGTATTCGAAAAAGATAAAAATTTCTCTATAAGCTAAAATATTGAAGGTTACTATTAACTATTGAAAAAGTCAGCGTATGACTTTCGATATTCCACAGAAGATCTTTCCAGAACACTGAACTAAACTAGAATTCGATTAATTAATCAATTCCATTCATTGATGAAGACTCAGAAAACGACATATAACAAGAGATGTTCCATTAGACTATGATTTGTATTAAAACTACTCGATAGAGAAAATTATTCTCTTTCGATCAATGAAAATCAGACATCAATCGATTGAGCATATTTTTAACTACGTTGTTTTCGACTATTTCACATTGAATTATGATCACATTCGTGAAGAACATAATAACTGATTAGGATGAATCTATTGTCAGTATTTATTCTCATGAAGAAATGTTTCCAACTGCTGGATGTTATTTGAGCTTATATTTTAGCTATGAATAAGATTCCATGAAACTAAAGAAATACCGAAAGAATTTGAGTCTATGACTATTTGGTCGAGAATTATGACTATTCCACTAGAAGTTTTGTCTAAACGTAGATATTTAACGACAACGAACAAAAGTGTGCAGTTTTCGATATCAAAATTTTTCTACAATTAGATCTAATGATTTATAGAGCAAGAGACCTAAATATCTAGGCCACTAAAAAATGCACTAATTCAAGAAAGAAAAATTCATTTGAAGTGAAACTTTTACAATATTCTCTTAATCTTTAAATTTAACTTCAAACAAATTTTCAAACCGAAAAAATGATATAATTTCATTTTTTCATAAATACTTTTGAATAGATTGAAAGTTCAGCTAGACGGCTATAACTCTTGAGCAAAAGATTATCGATCTGAATTTTTTTCAGACTTTCTTAATCTGAGTAAGTCTTATTCAGTACCAAAATATGAACTCAATAACATCTGACAATCTATCAATTCATACGTACAATTGGATGAGCTGTTGAAGCAAGTCTAAATAGAAAAATTAACTAATTTTCGATAAATCTATACTTACAGTTCAGCCATTTCTCTGTCAAATATAAATAATTAAAAATAATTCTATTTTTTTAAGTTCATAATGAAATTTCGATTATCTAATGAACTAAGTTTGAATAGAACAAAAAAATGTCAAACAACCGAAATAAGGTCTTTCCTAGAGATGTGTATCTCGTCTCAACGATACGATTGGTCAACGTTGTATGTTTACTGATCGAAAAATAATAATTTTCTTCACTGCAAAAGAACATTTTTCCATATTATTAGTTTCAAAATTTTCATCAATGAGTTCAACTAATCGGTCAATTCAATTCTAATAGAATTCATTTTCTGGAATGTCTTCTATGGAATATGGAGAGTCACACGACTCTCTTGTTTTTTTTTTATTCTTGAATATTCAAGAAAACAGATGCATGGATAGAATTGTTTATATAGATAATAGTTTGCCCATAATTGTTTACTTACACAACACGTATTTCCTTGTGCTGAGATATAAATAAAACGTAATATTTTTTAGCAATGTTTTATTCTTTTAACTTTACTTATCTTCTAAAAAAATGACTTTACAGACTTATAAATAGAGCAATTTACTTTAGTTTCTATAACACCAATCATATCAACTTCTGATACAACAAGAGGAACGATAAAACAAGATTTGAAATCATCAACAGAATACAAAGAACAAAAACAATCATCGTCAACAGAATCGAATATTATTGTTTATATTACAGATTTACCAGCAAATATCGATAATGATGATAATCTTGCAAAATTAATTCAGAATCATCTCGAAAATATTCATAAAATTACACCAATTAGTATTAAATGTTATTCAGAATTAGCCGCTGGTTTTATATATGTTGGTGATAATCAGACCAAAACTTGTTTAATCGACAAGATTAAACGAATGGTATTAGATTCAACTGGAGATACGTCTATAATTTCATTTAATGATACTCTTGAACTGATTTCATATATAGTTATTGACAAAACAAATGAAAAAAAAGATGTAAATCTACCAGAATCTCATGAAATTCTAAACCGATGGATCGATCTCTATCATGGAGAAAAACCACGCTCATGTGAACAAATAAGTGCTCAATTTCCTAATATATATCGTCTAATTTCAACTTCATTGGATGATTTACTTAATGTTATGTCAAATAGAGATTTTCTAATTAATAATCTTATTGCTCGTGTTTATGTCGGGGCTAATTGTAGTTATTTTGAAGATTTACCAAGATCGACAAATAAAGAACAATTAGAAAGAACTATTTGTATTTCGATTGGAATAACAAATGTAGAATCATTATCACTTCATATTGAATTAAATAAACAGACGCGTAATGCATGTATAATCGCTGCTGGTATAGCTCGAAAATGGGCAACAAAAGATTTTCTCTATGTTAATGGTAAACCAATACCCATAAAAGTAAATTTAGCTTTTCGTCTTCTTCTTCATCCGATATCAAAACTCTATAAAGATGATGAAATTTTAAGTCAAAAAATATTTCGTGGGCAAGCTAAAATTCTTGAACGATGTGGTGATAAAATAACTCTTGAAATATCCAGTAAAACTATTTTTGATGAATGTTTAAAATTTGGTGTACTTCGTATTGGTACTGATTCTGTATTAAAACTAGAAAATTATATATCAATTATGGATCCCGAAGAACTTGAAATTGATGTTGAAACTTGGTATGAAAATGAAATGATCCGTTATAAACCTGATATTATGCAGTTTATTAATGATCTTGAACATCCTATTTTTCGTTATAAATGGAATGCACAAATATGGCTTGAACAATTTCAAAATATAATGTATTCAGATTCTATTACTAATATTGATTCAAGACATCATTCAAATTTATCATCAGATAAAATTCGTCATTTATTTCAAATGACAGTTATGTTAAATACAATTGGAGTTATTAGAAAAAAAAATTATTTTATTAAAAATGAACAAATTAATTTAAATTTAGATCCGAAATTAAAAACAATTATTTATAATCATGATTCACTATTAGAACATGGTCAAACAGTACAATTAACAACAACTCCTTATACAGAAACAAAAGTTAAAGTAATAAATGAAGATTGTTTAACTGTATATGGAAATTGTTGTAAAGATTATAAAAAACCACTTTTATTAAATATGGCTAATGCAACAAGTCCAGGTGGTGGTTATAGAAAAGGTGATGGAGCACAAGAAGAAAATCTTTTTCGTCGATCAGATTATTTTCGAAGTCTCGATGTTGAACTTGATCATATTTATGAAGAAACATCAGAACGATTTGTTTGTTCATCTGATGGTCAAATTCTTCCACTTCATGATTATCAATCTATGTATCCAATAGATGAATATGGAGCTATATATACATCAGGTTTAACATTTTTTAGAAAATCTGAACAACAAGGTTATGATTATATGGAACAACCATTAGAAAATGTCTATTCATTAGCTATTGCAGCATATCGAAATCCAAAATTAGATGGAAATATGTTATCACCTCAATATTCTGTTGGAATGAGAAAAAAAATTGAAAATCTTTTTTCTATTGCTTATAATCATAAACATGATTGTCTTATATTATCAGCACTTGGTTGTGGTGCATTTAGAAATCCTCCCGAACATGTTGCAAAAATATTTCGTTCAGTTATTGAACAATATGCTGGATTTTTTCAAACAATTATTTTTGCTATTCTTGATGATCATAATACTGGGCAACAACATAATCCAGAAGGAAACTTTAAATCATTTCGAAATGAACTACATGATCAAATTTTTCGACCTATTTTATCATTAAATCGTGCAAATACAATTATTGGACCTTATCGAATTTCATCAGATGCTTCAACTATAAATGATGTAACAATATTTGATTTACAACCATGTCCTTTAGGTGCAAAATGTAATAAAATGTATGATTCAAAACATACATTAAAATATTCTCATCCAGCTTTATGTAACGAATTATGTGCAACAGAACGATGTCAACAAACAGACAATTTAGTTCATATGTCATCATTTATCCATCGGAATCCATGTAAAAATGGTACTCAATGTAAAGATATTGATGATGAAAAACATTCTCGAGAATATGAACATCCATCTTGTTGTCCAAATGGTGCAAATTGTCAAGATACAAGTAATAATCATGAACAAGCATATCGACATTTACCTTTATGTGAAAATTTTCGAAAATGTCCACAATTTCAAAAACGTGTCAAAAGTCATTGTGAACAATTTCGTCATTGTAATCCATCTTGTAAACTTGGAAATAAATGTATTTATTTTCATAATAAACAACATATTGAAAATTACAAACATCCATTTCCATCTCCATGTCCATTTACACCGTATCATTGTGCATTTTATGAAAAATTTACAACAATAAAATCTAACGAAACGATTCCGATCGACATCGATCAACATCGTCTAGACTTTGCTCATGTATGTCACATAGGACAAAACTGTACTGATAAAGATCCATTGCATTGGGAAAAATCAATACATGTACCTCGTTCTATTTGTAAATTTGGTTATCAATGTACAAAACTTGTTCAAGAAGATCATTTGAATTCATATACACATTCAAAGATTAATGATATTCGTTTTCTTTGTACAGATGCTGATAAATGTCAAAAACGTAAAGATCTGAGACATTTGAGTACAGTTCGACATATAATTACATTTGAAGATAGTGGTATTGTTCGATATTTTAATTTAAATAAAGATATTGATTTTGTTCAAAATCAACATGATAATATAGAACGTGTTATTAATTATATAAAAAAAGAAAAATGGGAAACATTTAAATCTGGATCAATTCCACAAA